TTTAATATTATTTTTTAATTAAAAATGTTAACAAATATTTGAGAATTTAATGATATTAATACATGTATAAAGTACATGTATGTATTAGAAATAATACTAAAATTTACAAGTTACATCTGTACATGTACAGTACATCTAACATTGTTATGTTAAATTTGGCGAAGTATTATGTTTATCTGGATAACAAATAGGATACAGGATATATTAACACTAGGTTTATCACAATTTTTATTGTTTGGTATTTAAGACTTTGTGTTAGGATTTAAGAATTTGCGTATAAAATAAAGCATAACTAAATGTAATACAAGTACCGGTTTTAATTGTTTTATTTTATTTTATAATTTAATATTAAATATTGGAATCAATTATTATTACTAAAAATTTTAAGTTTAATATAAAGTTAAGAATTTTGAATTCACTCAATATTAAAGTAAATTTGAAATAAATCTGAACTGAAATAACGGTATATTGATATTGATGTTAACGTTGAATGAGAACTGATCGTAGATTTTAGTCCATAAATTGTGGACAAATCGATATCCAAAAACAACAGCACATATCACGACAAAACAAATTAATAGTATAACAAATACTATCCATATTTGTGGCAAAGACGCGATTTTGGCCCAAAAATGATCGCTCATATGAATAGGAAGATTGCAGTCAATCAACACTTTTAATCCATTTATTTCGCACTATATTTAAAGTAGTTTTAAAACAAGAGTTTAGTTTTTAAATGTTATAATTATATCTCTCCTCACTTGGGAACTGAGTATTTCGTAATCTGTTTGACAATATTTGATAACATCGTTGACTTGAAAAAGTATCAGAATATCTCTGCGAAAGTGATTGGGTTTCAGATAATCACTTCCAAGACTGAAGATTGCGATTACTTTTAGTTTAGGATTTAAGCGATCAATTGATTTCACACGAAACGGATCCAAAGTTTTGTCACTAATTTTGGCACTTTTGGGATTGAATTGAAAATATTCGGCTCTTCTCTTATATATTCCCGAAAAGTGTGGCTTTTGTTCCAACAAATAAACAATACTTGAGTTACGGCTCATGTAATGCATTGCAAATGCTATGGTAGGCCTGAAATCGTCAAATTTTATATCTTCAACGCCAATACATTGGGATTTATAGATATTTCTGTTCTCAAACTCAACCCAATATATCTTATTCTCTATTCTCTGATCAAATCAATAAATTAATTGTAAAAATAAGGGAATTTGAAAATTTTAATAGTTGTAAATATATTTACGGGAATCAGTGCTGTTCTAAAGCCCTTTCCTTTGTTATCATTGATTGTGAAGGCCATTGAGAACTGATCCCAGAATATATCGTTGTCTTTACCATTGTTTGTGAGCAGTTGAGCCCTATTATCAATGAGACGTTTTTCATATTTTATTTGCCAAAAGTAGCGGTCGATCACTAAATACAGAGGAGATGTGTCTTCAGGGCTGATGTGACGAAAACCAAAACTAATTCTTTTANCTATTTGTTATCCAGATAAACATAATACTTCGCCAAATTTAACATAACAATGTTAGATGTACTGTACATGTACAGATGTAACTTGTAAATTTTAGTATTATTTCTAATACATACATGTACTTTATACATGTATTAATATCATTAAATTCTCAAATATTTATTAACATTTTTAATTAAGAAATAATATTAAAATATAATGATTGTTACGAAATATAAACATTAAAATATGATAACAATTTACGTAAATAACTATTTGTTGTTTACGAGTCCATCAAAAGTGATAACAATTCTTGTGATCTACTCTTCAATGATAAAGCATTTCATGACATTTCATGACATTCACAACAATTCACGCAATTTTTAATATTTTTCATTCAAATTATTAGAAAATTTTTGTTTATATAAAAAAGTGACAAAAAAGTTATAAATGATTTAATTGTAACACTATTTGAATGCAATTTCTGCTAAAAAGTGTTTAAATAGAAGAATGTGTGAAATAATAGCAAAACATTTTCAAAGTGTTAGGCATTAGTCGTGTCGACAGAAGAGCGCAAAAGCCATCGATTTGTATGAAAAGTGTGTCAAAAGAGACTTGTTTTCAATGAAACCAATGTTTTTCTCAATGGTTTGCCTTATTTTTAGGACACATTTCGCTCACAACTGTCTCTCATCTGCCGATTATCTGACAATTGATTCAACGATTAACCGATCAGATGGACGACAACTCATCCGGAAGTGATGTCTTGTATTCATCGCAGTTATTACAGACTCTAGACTACAGTAACGCCGGTATTGTTTGCCATCAAAACCTCTTTTACCATAAAATTGTTACCATGTTTTGCAACCTCTTCCACGTAATCACCTGTAGTTACCTCTCCGTCAAAGTTAGCCAAACATCTCGTATTAAGACCTCTTCGTTGCGATGACTATAGCCGAGGATTTCTTGATCTATTGTCTCAGTTGACACAAGTCGGAGACATCGATGAGAAACTATTCAATGGTATGTGTTTTGTGTAGATTTTAAATGTCTTTCAAATCTAATGATTGAAAACAATTGTCATTTTTGAAGAGCGTTTCAAACAAATGAAAAATAACGGCAATTATTACGTGACAGTTGTTGAAGACGTGACCACTTCTCGGGTCATATGTTCGGCCACTTTGTTCACTGAATACAAGTTCATACACAACGCGGCGATGGTTTGTTCCCCTCTATTATCTCTTATAAGAATGAATATTAATGTCATTTTTATCGATAGAGGGGTCGTATTGAAGATGTTGTGGTCGACGGTGAATATCGTGGCCACGGATTGGGTCTTCTGATTATCGAGACACTCAAACTGATGGCCCGGTCTTTGGATTGTTATAAATTGACACTCGATTGTAGGGATGAGATGATTGAGTGGTACTCAAGACTCGGCTTTATAGCTGTTCCCACCCGTAGTAATATGTTGACCATTCGGTTCGACGATTGACCACTACTTAACACAATTACAAGTATTTAATGGCTTTTACTATATATGAAATCAAAGTTCAAAACTATTTGACAATTTTTTAATACAATTAATTTTAATAACTGTTAGATTTGTTGAAATGATTGTAATTATAATGTATTTTATTATTAATTTTAAAAATTGATTCTATTTTTTATATAATTTAAAATATATAACAATTTATAAATGAATTAATGACTAAATATATGGCAATTATTGTCCCGATTATGTGGTTCCGGGGCTTTTGAATGGATTCTCTTTGTGATAGTACTTCTCATAAGCGGTCTCTTCTGTCCACTTGTCGTCACGTATGGCTCCGACGTAATCGATCTCCAGATTAAAAGGTCCCGAGTATTGGTCGGCCAATAGAAAGCCGATTTGAGATACGTTTCCTTTGGGTAGTTCTGACTGAACCTCTTGAGCGTAACCCTTGTGTTGCAAATAAAACCTCGAGAACGGGATCTGCGAGAAGACCGGTTCCAGTCATCAAATCAATTCACAATCACGAGAGAGAGAGAGGGAGCAACTGAATGGGTGACTCACTTTACACCACTGCCAATAGGGTCCGCCGTGAGTGTAGAGGACATACTGGTAGCGATCAAACCACGAGACGTCTGAGTCTTCGTCGGATACGTTCAAAATGATGAACCAATTCCTGCCGTCTCCGCGACACCGGACCAGAAGGTGTGTAAAGGAGTTCCAATCAAAGTAGTCCTGTCTGTAAAAGGATCGGCGCTTCTTCTCGCACCCGACGAACGCATATCCGGCGCGCGCTATACTCCCGTCGAGCGGCAACTTTGTGTCCAAATAGCCGCTGAACAGCGCCCGACCCGACGGAGACACTGTCCAATCACAACGCGTGTAACCTAAACACCACACCAAACAAACACACCGTTAAACATGTCTCGACCCGAAGAGTGGGTAAACCCGATGTGCGCTAACCCTCGTTATAATCGGAATCGCAGGCAATGATCCACTTCTTCATGTCATTGGTCTCAACGCCTCTGTTGTCGCGATTGTGATAACTAGTGATCACTCCGTTATGTCGTTGATTAAAGTCCCAGAGTTTGACGACCTCTCCGTCGTCGTAGTGGTCGTAGAGTGACTCGAGTCCGTACCGATCCCTCACCTCTTCGGCCCACATCTTCACCTCATCCTTCAACGCGTGGTAACCACCGGTCAGTTTCTCCCACTCGGGAATCGCTTCCCACTTCGCTTCCCGAATGTCTTCGTACTTCTTGGCGCCGCTTCGGAACGGCTGATACCAACCGGCGTTCCCTCGACGGCAACACATCCGATGGCCACTCAATATCTGCGACAATAGTCTTGTGTTTAATAACTTTTTGCAAAACATTTTTTGATTATTAAATGTTTTTTTTCAAATATTCAATGCATTCAATGTTTTCATTACATTTGGTTCGTTCGCTAACAACGTCTCCATTACTGTATAGACATGTGTTTCAATTGCACCCCATTTTAGCCCCCATTTCGCAGACAGTATTATAACTAAACGTATTGTCCTTTTAATCAATTGTGTTATTTTTCTGATATTCTTGACGTTATTATTGGATATAAATTATATGTTATTTTCTTGAAGGCTATGAGACATCTGTTGACCACAAATGCAAACCATTTTTATATGAAATCATAGGAAAAGGTCTTAAGTATGGATTGAATGGGAATTTGAATGTGGGTTAAACTACACACTCTTTGGGTCAATCATTGTATTACAATTAATGCAAACTTCATAAATACAATACATCTCCTTTACTATTAGAAGCGGCGATATAGAGGTAGAATGACATTTGAGTCATCAATGAAATGCAAACATGCAAACACATTGACTGACACCCTATTAGTGAATCTTAATTTTGGCAAAATATTATTNAATGACATTTGAGTCATCAATGAAATGCAAACATGCAAACACATTGACTGACACCCTATTAGTGAATCTTAATTTTGGCAAAATATTATTTCAATTATTTTGACTAATTAATTACGAGCCGTAATTTCGAGCTGTGCCCTCGTACAATACAATAGACGGAAATTTTTTTTCTTATTTTTTGTGTCAAATATTTAACGCATGAAATAGTTTTCTTCACTTTCAATAAAAGCTCTGATTTTTTTGCTTTAATTTTTATTTTATGTTAATTTTTGTTGAGAAAGGGTTTTAATGAGTGAAATGAAAGTTAGTTTTATGTTTTAAAATTTGGGTTTTAATCATAAAATTGATTTTATTTTTGATAAATGAAATCATTTGCCAATAAATGAAAATTATTGCTTAGTTTATGAAAAGTTTGGCAACAAGTCTGACACAAACTCTTACAGTTATTGTAAAGTTTACTTTATTTAAAAAACTTTATTTCAAAAACATTATTCCATTTAAATTGTCTATAAATAGTATAAAATATTAAAACAAAATAATAAATAAATGAAATGAAAGTGTCGTTTGAATGAAGAGTTGGCGATCACTGGACTAACGGCTGGATTGCGTTGATATAAATCATTGTAATCTTTGTAGACATTCACTAAATTGTTGTCTACTTTTCTGTTGTCTTCCAAATCGTTATTTACTTCAGTAATCAATTGAAGCTCTTTTTGACGACTATTTTCCTCCAAATTGTTTTCCATCTTCTCTTCGATCACGTCTTCGTTATTCTCGTCCACGTCTTCGTCGTCATCGTTAAGATCGACCACTT